TTATTATTTTATTATTATTATTTTATTATTATTATTTTATTATTATTATTTTATTATTATTATTTTATTATTATTATTATTTATTACGCTCTGAGTTCTATTCCCCCTCCCCACCTGGAAATAAATCTCTTCCAAAGGCAAAACACAAGCAGAGGAGTTTCAGTTTCACAGCACCCAGCAGCTTTAGTGCAGAACAGTTGAGCTAAGCCATGCCCAGGCTCCTTACTGTCTCCTTGCTCCCAGAGCAAATACTCTTTCAGTTTCCAAACAGCCCTCCACTCTCTCACCCATGTCAGGACACTAGCCAGATGAATACCAATGGAGGCTGGTAGGCAGAATGTTTCACCTTCCTTATTTTCCTCCCCCAAAACTAAGCCCCACCATATAGTTTCTTGCTCACACAGCAAATACTCTTTCAGTTTCCGAGCAGCCCTCCACTCTCTCACACACTGACAGGACGCTAGCCGGATGAATACCGATGGAGGCTGGTTGGCCGGGGGCGGATGCCCCCCCCCCCGCCCCCCTCTATTTTCTTCCCCAACCACATAGTTTCGTAGCGACGCAAAGGTATCGAGCTAGTGTACAATATTTGGATTTTTTTTCCCGCCACCCCACCTGCGGGAAGAGGTGAGACGTCCCACTTGCAATCCCCGCTATTGGAAATGCAGCTTCCAATGTAAGGAAAGCCGCCTTTCGCCCCCCCCCCCAAATGCCCCCCCGCCACCCCACCCCCCAAAACACAGGCAGAAACAAGCCAGGGTTCTTAAGGTATTTTATTGGTGTTTCTGTGCAGGTAAACACACCTGGGCCCTCCCCTCCCCAGGTGATGTGCCCAGAAGCCCCCTCCCCTTCTTGCAACCTTCGGGCCCTCCCACCTCCCAAAACACAAGGCCCCCTCTGGCTTCCCTGGGGGGGGGGGTTGTAACAGAAGAGGAGGGGGCTATAGCCTTCCCCCGCCATCCTCACCCTGGCATAGGGGGTCTCAACGTGTGTGTGTCCCCCCCCCCAGAGTTTAGCACCATGGAACAACAGGGTTGCAACGACCTTGCAAAGGGAAGGAGGGGGAGGGGGCTCTTCCTTGGAAATGGGGAGGTGGGGGGGCTCACCCCCCCTCATCTTCCCATACTCCCCCCGTTCCCCCCCCCACATGGCCTGTCCCCCCCTCCTCACATTGGCACTGCCTCCTCTTGCACTCCCCAATGCCAGCCTGGGTACCCCACGAGTGTCCCTGGGGGGGAGGGAGAAGGGAGGGGGGGGGTCAGGT